TCTCTCTCTCTCTCTCTCTCTCTCTCTCTCTCTCTCTCTCTCTCTCTTTCTTTCTTTCTTTCTTTCTTTCTTTCTCTCTTTTTCTCTCTCTTTCTTTCTCTTTCTTTTTTCTTTTTCTCTCTTTCTCTCCCTCTTTCTCTCCCTGTCTCTTTCTCTTTTGCTCTTTCTTTCTCTCTCTCTCTCTCTCTCTTTTTCTTTTTTCTTTTTCTCTTTCTTTCTCTGTCTTTCTCTCCCTCTCTTTCTCTCTCTCTTTCGCTCTTTCTTTCTCTCCCTCTCTTTCTCTCTCTCTCTTTCTCTCCTTCTCTCTTTCTCCCCCTGTCTCTCTCTCTCTCTCCCTCCCTCCCCCCCTCCCTCCCCCCCCTCTCTCTGTCTCTCTGTCTGATTTCTAGCCCTGACTATGCTGGCAGCCTTCAGCATCTTGTGGGCACCTAGTTCAACATTTTAGCAGGTTGGGTGAACCAGGTGTTGCCTTTAAGCCATCTTTTGATTTATATATATCCAGGCACAGCACTTCATGAGAATTTAGCACCTATGTTTTGTTATTCAGCTGAGCCTAGGAGTTAGGTCTTAGGCCCGAATGCCCTCTGTCATGGCACCCCTGCTTCTCCCCACTGTTTGTGGGGCTCCGGAAAGGATTAAAAACTTGGTTGTTCCCCCAAACTGTGGTACAGGGTGGGCACAGGGTCCCCAGGGGTTAAGTTTGGGTTTTGAATCAAATTTCTATTCTGCTCTGTCTATTTTTGGGGGTTGTTCTTGCACAAACGGATTGAAGAATGCTGTAGAGATAAACACAGTGCCAGCGCAGACAACAGGTAAGAGAAAAGGAATAACAGCTGCATAATCTTAAATTTGCAACGGGGAGGAGAGAGAATTTCCAGGAAAAACCGAAGGATTCCCTTCTCAGCAGACTCTGCTGGGAAAGTCTGGGCCGGATGGGAATTCAAGATTCCTGCGAAGATTACAGGAATACTCTCTCTGGCAGCTGTTTTGCAGATATGTTTGGGACCCTCCCTCCACTCTCACGGATCGGCAGCCAGCACAACCAACGATGGGGGATCTGGGTTAAGGCTCCGGAAAGTTGGTCAGATTCCAGCTTGGGGGTGGGGGGGGGGGTGGGGAGGTGAAGGCACCTGACCTGGAACAAACCACAGTTACCTGCGGCGGCGTTTCCACGGCAAAACAAGGATTGTCGGGAATCTCGAGGCTCCCCAGGGACCTTTCCGGGGAAGAAGAAACCCTCCCCCCAAAAAACATCTGGAGTTCCAACTTCAAAGGGACGACCCGACGGGGAACCCCCCCGCCCACACACCTTCTCCAACCCTTTTACCTGCCAGGAGCACCGCCCGCCAGGGTGGCGTCCATCCGGGAGGGTCCCGAAGGCGCCGGCGCCCCTCTTCTGCCTGCCACTCCATGCTGAACCTCCGCTCCGCCGTCCACCCGCGCTGCTCGCCTGCCTGCCTGCCACCCACCCGCCGGCAGCCGCGCCTAGTGGTTTCTGCGCCCCCCACCGCCGGCCGAGAGAGAGGCACCCACGGGCGCCCAGCCCCACCCAGCTCGGCTTGCCCCGCCTTCGGGGGGGCGGAGCCCCCAGCGACGGGGACCCGATCCGTCCGCTTTGCCAGCCCGGGGAACGCAGCTCGGATAGGATCCCGGGCAGAGAGGAGGAAGACGCGAGAGCCCATCGGCGACGTTCCGGGGCTCTCTCTGCCTTACCACCGCCTCGCCGAGGTCTTGGGGGGGGGTTTGGGAGGTCATTGGGCTGGGCGAGCCGAAGGGAAGCGCCGTTGCCAGGGGTTGTGGGCCTCAGTTTCCCCTCGGGGATTCCGCTGGCTGCCCAGCTTGGCTCGGCCGATGATTTGGAAACGCGCAGTTGGCCAAGAAGTAACACTCAGTCTCTCTCTCTCTCCCTCCCTCCCTTCCTCTCCCTCCCTCCCTCCCTCCCTCCCTCTTTCCCCCTTCCCACCCCGCCTTGCGCTAAGGCTGATTTTGGGGGCAAGGAAACGCGGGGCTCGGGGTCACCTCCGAGGGACGAGCCCCGCTTGGGCTTTTGCGCGCAACGAGGGATGAGCCCCCCCCCTTCCACCGACCCACCCCGGTTTGAATGTGAGCTGGGGGAGCGCTAGGTGGCAACGTCACCGATTAGTAGCTGCCCACCCACCAAGACTTTTTTTAAAATGTCAGAAATGGTATAGGGCAGGGGTGTCCAACCTTGGCAACTTTAAGACTTGTGGACTTCAATTCCCAGAATTCCTCAGCCAGCTGGCTGAGGAATTCTGGGAGTTGAAGTCCACAAGTCTTAAAGTTGTCAAGTTTGGACACCCCTGGTGTAGGGCAAGGGTCTTCCAACTTGGCACAAGCTTTAAGACTTGCGGACTTCAATTCCCAGAATTCCTCCTCCAGTCAGGTTAGCTGAGGAATTCTGGGAGTTGAAGTCCACAAGTCTTAAAACTTGCCAAGGTTGAAGACCCTTGCCTTAGATAGTACAGTGGCTGGGGAATTCTGCAAGTTGAAGTCCACGCATGCTGGCTGGGGGATTCTGGAGCGGAGGTCCATGTATAGGGGATTATGGGAGTTGAAGTTCATACATGCTGCCTTAGGAATTCTGGGAGTTGAAGTCCATGCATGCTGGTCGGGGAATTCTGAGAGTTGTACTTCAAGGCATGTTAGCTGGGGAATTCTGGGAGATGAAGTAGAGGCACGCTGACTTAGGAATTCTGGGAGTTGAAGTCCACAAGTCTTAAAGCTTGCCAAGTTTGAAGACCCTTGGTGTAAGGTCTCCTGCTTGGGCATGGGTGGTGGTGGTGGTGGTTGGACTAGATGACCTACAAGGTTCCTTTCAACTCTGTTAATCTGTAATCTGTAAATACTTTTTAAAAATTAGAAGAGAATAGAATTCTTTATTTTTTAATAGAATAGATTTTTAAAATTACTTTATAATATAGCATAGAAAGAAAATAAAGAAACAAAAAGTAAACAGCAGGGAAAAAAGGGAAGGGAAAAGGGAGAGGAAAAACGAGAGAAAGAAAAGGAGGAAAAGGAGAAAAAAAAAAGAGGCATTGACTTCCGACTCCCTTTGGCGCAATTAGAATCAGGCATTAACTTCAAGCCTCAACTTTTTTTACTTTGACACAATCCTATTAACTAGCCAATTTCTATAACAAGCCCCCCTGCAAGGCTTTTAAAGGACCCCGCACCGACCCCTCGAGCAATTCCCCCCTGTGCCATTCACTGCTCCCCCCCCCCGTCTCCCCGCAAGCCGTCATTCGTGGTTTGCTTAAGACCGGGCTGAGTTAAAACTTGACGCTAAAAGGCGTCAAGGCTGACGCAACCCCGCTTCGCGATTCCAGGAAGGGACGGGGATGGAGGGGGATTATATGGGAGGGGGATTTCCAGGAACGAGGCGGTGCCAAGCAGCGGAGACCCCGTCGCACTTTTCGCCTTCCAAGCCGACCAACCCAACCGCTTGGAGAAAGCATCGCCCGATCCTGCCCGCCGCGGATTATGGGTACGGCCACCCCGTTCTCTAACCCGGAGCTAGAGAATCCTCGGGAAGCGGGGGGGGGGGGGAGGGGGAGGATGCCTCTCTCCCTTCCCAGGTGTTTGCCCGACCCTCCCGCATCTTTCGGACCGTCTGCGGGGCGCGGAAAGTCCGCGTTTCGTCCTCCGCCGGTACGCGGAAAGTTCGCGTAAATTCCAAGTTGCGGGGCGTTTGTTCCCAGCGGGAGATAATAATTACAGATTAATGGAAGGGACCTTGTAGGTCATCTAGTCCAACCCCCTGCCCAAGCAGGAGACCCTACACCATTTCTGACAGACGGGAGTCCAATCTCTTCTTGAAAGCCTCCAATGATGAAGCTTCCACAACTTCCGAAAGCAACTTCTGTTCCATGGGTTGATTGTTCTCACTGTCAGAAAATTCCTCCTTATTTATTATAGAACAGAATAGAAATAGGAATAGAATAGAATAGAACAGAATTCTTTATTGGCCAAGTGTGACTGGACACATAAGGAATTTGTCTTTGTGTAAATACTCTCAGTATACATAAAAGAAAAGATACATTCATTAAGAATCAAGAATCATAAGGTGCAACACTTAATGATAGTCATAGGGTACAATCAGCAATCAAATCATACTAGGAAACAGTCAATATAAATCGTAAGGATACAAGAGACAAAGTTATAGTCATACAGTCACAATTGGGAGGAGATGGGTGATAAGGAGTGACCAGAAGATTAACAGTAATAGTAGTGCAGACTTTGTAATAGTTGAAACAGTTTATGTCCGGGATGTGAGGGGTCTGTATATATTAATCTTCTCATCATTCCTATCACCCATCTCCTCCCATTTGTGACTGTATGACTGTAACTTTGTCACTTGTATCCTTATGATTTATATTGACTGTTTCCTAGTATGATTTGATTGCTTATTGTACTCTATGACTATTATTAAGTGTTGTACTTTATGATTCTTGACTCTTGACAAATGTATCTTTTCAGCCTACGCACTGAAGACAAATTCCTTGAGTGTCCAATCACACTTGGCCAATAAAGTATTCTATTCCATTCTATCTATGAATAATGTGTGGGTATGTGGGTGTGTAGGTAGGTACCTAGATAGATGGATAGGTAGGTATGTAGGTGGATAGATGATGGACAGGTGATAGATGGAAAGATATAGATAGATTAGGTAGGTAGGTAGAATACATAGTTTCTTAGTATGATTTGATTGCTTATTGTACCCTATGACTATTACTAAGTGTTATACCTTATGATTCTTGACAAATGTATCTTTTCTTTTATGTACAGTGAGAGCGTTTGCACCAAGACAACTCCTTGTGTGTCCAATCCCACTTGGCCAATAAAGAATTCATTCATTCATTCATTTCTAGGTTGAATCTCTCCTTGTTCAGCATGGTTTCCCCTTCTTAATTCCATAAAATTTATCTACAGTTTCATAGAAAAAAAAGGACATATTTATCTACTCATTTAATCCTAAACCCTAATGCCAATTTCATTTCAGCTTTCCTCCTATATCATTCCATTTATTTCAATCTATTTATATTACACATATTCCATTAATTATTCCATTCATATTTAAACCAAAAGAAATAAAAAAGAAAATCAGCATTCCAATCAAAGTATTTCAATATATTTAATAAACATATTCCATATATTTATTGTATTTACCTCTTAAACATAAAGGAAGAGAGCATTGCCAAAAAATAACAATTCTATTATCCATCTTATATGTCTCCATTTCACAATAACAAATTTATCTATATTATTCTCCAAGACCTTGCAGAATCCCCTCTCCCGGTATCATTCAGCCATTATCTCTGTGTAAGAAATTTACCCCCATTTTATTTAAAATTCCCATATTCCTTTGTTCCCAAATCCTGTTTCTTTTCCCTTCTTTTCCTTAACGTTTCCCCCATTTATTATTTCACTCCAGTGTTTAACTGCCTCTCTATTTTTAGCTACCTTCCGCCCTTCAAATTTCTGCTGATTCTTTCCCCCTTTTTTATTTCCAGGTATTTTCCTCTTTATTCAATTTCCCAGACCTCCAATATTTATTCCCAATTCTTTTTCTCTTTCCTTCTGATAAAGATACAGATAATCAGAGTTGGAAGGGACCTTGTAGGTCATCTAGTCCAACCCCCGGCCCAAGCAGGAGACCCTACACCATTTCTGACAAATGGCAGTCCAAATTCTGGATTCCTTTGTTCTTGATGGTGATTAAAGATGGCCCCTTCTGAAATTTGCTCCACCTCTTCTTCTGTACTTTGCCTTTGTTGTTCATACTCTGCAATCGCCTCTTCAAAAAATTTAAAAACGAAGCTCAAAGTTTCACTTTTTTCTTGTAAATTTTCTTTAATGTATCCAAGTTCCATTTTTAGTGCCTGAAAAGATATCGCCATTTTACAATCCTCTATTTAATCCAGTTAGTGTCTTTAAAGTTAATTTCCAACAGTCCGCTTTGTTTCCTTCCTCTCAAATTTGGTCCTCTGCTAGTCTAATACCAAGTCCATAACAGAAGCAACAATTAATCCAAGGGCAGAATTTTCCTGTATCTTTCTTTACTTCAATATTTCAAATTTCCAAAACCCTTGTTTTATTGTATCAATTTTCCTTGTATTTTTACGAAACAGAGTCTTTAAAAAAAATCAAGTTGAATTTAACTCAGATGGCACTCTTTGTTCTAACAAATCCACACCTCCTCCTTTCTTTTCCTTCTCAATTATTCAGAGCTTTTCAAACCACAATCTTATGAGGAAGAATTTCTGTCATATGTTTTTGTATACATTACTTATCTCTTCAATCTTGACAGACTTCAATACTGGGCCCGATCTAACAAAATGAAACTCAATGTAGAGAAAAGTTAAGTCCTACACTTAGGCAAGAAAAACCAAAAGTACACATATAGACTAGTGAAACCAGATTTCTTAATAGCAGTAACTGTGAGAGGGATCTTGGAGTCTTAGTGGACAATCAATTAAATATGAGCCAGCAGTGG